TTCTAACTGAACGAAACTCTAGAACTATAGTTGGATTAGAATGCGTACTGCTAATAAGTAATTCAGTATTCATAGAAATAAAGCTTTTTATGAAGAATTCTTTTTGTTATATCAAAAAATTTTCTTTTAAATTTGACTACTTTTCTAATATGTCATGTTATGAATGTGTTTTAAAATAATACGAAGGTCGGTTCTTTGTTTTTATTAGTGAAAAATATTTAAAAAAGAAATTAATATTATTACAGTTTCGATGATACACGTTGAATACTTTCTTCAATTTGAGTAACATCATGATGTGTAGGTGGTAATGAATGACGATAAATTATAGCTGCTTTTTCAAGATATGATAATGCTTGTAAATATGCACCTGTATTCTCATAAACATAACCCATATTTTCAAATGTTGATGCTATTGATGGATGTTGAGGTGGAAGAGATTTAGATTTGATTTTAAGAGATAAATTATAATGTTCAATGGCAAGTTCATGATGGCCAAGACGTTCATAAACAGCACCAATATTATTATGTGATCCAGCTAAATCATGATGACTAGCAGAGGGATGTCTTTCACGTATATCTAAAGCTTTTCGAAAAGATTCAAGAGCTTCTACATATTTCTTTTCTCTCTTGTAAACAACACCCATATTATTATAACAACCGGCTACATTGGGATGATTTTTTCCATATGCTCGTCTCCAAATAACTAACGCTTTATTAAATGCTTCAAGTGCTTTTTCATGATCACCTTTTAGTTGATAAACAATTCCAATACAATTATAACTTTGTGCAATATTTGGATCATTTGGTTTCATTATTTTTAATTTTATTTCTAATGATTTATATAAACATTCAAGACTTGTATCATAATCACCTCTTGCTTCAGCTATTCGACCTAAATAATGATATGAACGACTTATAAATACTTGATCATATGTTGAATCATTAAGTAAACGTTGATAACATTTTTCAGCTTCATCTAATTTTCCTGTTCGTTTTAATGCGTTACCCAATGAAAGAAGATTTATACTATTTTCATCATATTGATGTTTAATATAATCAAATACAGATTTTAAATGATGATCATCATCACTACATAATGATAAATGTATTACATAGAGTTCATTTTTTTCTCGAATTATATTATCAATACGAAAAATACTTCCGAATGAAAATAAAATTTCTTGTTCATTTGTTGTTTGTCTATGAATAGTTATATTAGCATATGGTTTTATTTTCATTAAATGTTGATCAATATCAATTTTAAATAAAACTTTTTTCAAATTATTATTATCATGTTCATAATTATTTAAATAATAAAGTGCATCATTACGATAAATATATGTAGAAAAAAATGTATTTATTGAAATATATTTTCCAATAGATTCTTTAAATAAATCAAATTCATCATTAGATAATAGATAACTACGATAGACACGATTTATAGATGATGATTGATCTTTTTTTAATTGTCGTATAAGATCATGAATATAAAATTGTAATAAATAAAGTAAATCAATATTTGTTATATTCAAGGATTTATTTAATAATTGATATAAAAATGAATCAGATGTATACCACCATAATGCATTTGATGATAAATAACTATATTCAAATTCATGTAAAATTCTTAATTGATTCATATTACCGTGATATGCTGTTTTACATAAATCTATTAATTCTTTTTTATTTTCAGTTATTTGTTCATTTGTTAATTTAATATGTAATAAAAAATGAATTAATAATTGAGAATGAAGAAATTCAGTATTTGAATTTGACATTAAACGATCTATTGGTTGATTTGTATCATATATATTTATTATTAAAGGTTCTTCTAATTTTTTTTGTTTTATATGATCAAGTTTTATTTGAACAATTAATTCATCAAGATCAGATTTAATAGATTTGATCTAAATATAACATTATAGATTTGAATATCTCTATGAAGATAACAATCAATTTAAAATATTTCGAGAAAATTCAGAATATATTTTTCAATTTATTTGTAATCAATCAAAATAGAAAAATAAAGTCATAACCTTTTATAACCAGGTCAATTATAAGTCATATTCTGATTAGTTTTGATGGAGCTTATCTATAGTCAAATTTTAGAATTAAATCATTTCCGAAAGATACAGATTTCATTTTTTTTTCATGTACAAGATACTTTTAATATATTATACTTTAACGTAAGTTAGTTGTATTTACTATTTAATAAAATGTTTACAATGTGATGATTAAATACAGGTAAGCAAGCGTTATATTGTATGAAAACAAATCGATTCATTTTTTTTTACAATAAATTAAATAATATTAAAAAAAAGTCACGAATTTATTTCTAACCTTTTTATATTGAGAAATCCAACCATAATCGTGATTATCTTCTTTTGAATGAATATAAATTGATATAATTTGTCGAAGTTCATATATACGTGTAATTATTTCAAAAGCATATTTTTCATTGATAAGAAATACAACTCGATCATCTTTAGATAAAGATCGTATATATTGTTCACATTCATCAATATCATGAAAAATTCTTAAATAATTTATAATTGAATGAAGTTGCTGTTGTGTGTCAATATTATCATGTAGATCATTTGTTGATAAATCAAGCCAAATTAAACTAAATATTTCATAATTCTCACCAACTGTTGACGATAATGATGATCTACTTGAAGATCCATTTAGTTCCATTTTCCTAGAAATATATTAATAAAAAAAAACACATAGTTCATCGTTCGTTTCTAATTTCAGTTTTCTTTTACATTCTATCATGTATATTTTTATGTGTGTGCAATAACCGAGACGAAAGACAAGTGCACAATTAAGTAAGAAAATAGAAATATATGCATATTTTTTTTTCTTTTATATAGCAGAACGACAAAAAAAAATAATACTTACCTATATATGTGCGTCATTCTATGGGCTTTTTTTTTGGTAAATGTGAAATGTAATAAGTTTTGTCATGTGTTTTGATTTTGATAATTGATATGCATTTATTAAAAATAAAAACAAGCAAAAGTTTAAAATATCTATTCAGCTTTTCTCTCGAAAGTAAGCCATTGTTCACTTAGGAATTTTAGATATCGTCTTATAGATATTTTATGTTAGTAAAAGTATTGCAATGAGAATCAATGTTTTATTCGACGTAAGATACAAGAGAACGATACATCTTCGAAAGTTGAATTGACTTTTTTCTGGAATTTTATCGTTATTGTACTATGTATAATGTTCTTATTATTCGAAAAAATAGTTTCACACTTTCTGGAAGAGAAAATCTCGAGAAAAAAAAACATTGATAAGAATATTTAAATTTCAATTAGGTAAAACATTTAAATTGAAATCAATATATCTTCAAATTTTTTAATTATAGAAATATGAGTACTTCTTTACAGATTAGAATAAGTATAGATACTAGCAGATACTTAAGGCACTTTAATACCGTACAAAAAGTTTGAAGAAACGTTTTCTTTGTATTCATTGTTAGTAAAAATGGTGATCTATATATTTCACCATTCTTTAACTAATATCATACTCTTGTGATAACAACCGGGAAAATACCAGTGGAGTTTGTTTTTTTCTGGAAAGTGTTGTATCATAGTGTATTGTATAAAAATGGACAATATCTTTTGAAATCAATTAAAGCCGATAACATTAATCTAATTATGTTGATATGTCTGGGCCGCCTGTACTACTAGCCCACAGAGAGCTAAATTTGTATTATAGATGGCACTGCAAAACATTTTTGATAGTAAAATATATTCTGAAACTGTTTTCTTTCTATTAATTTAAAGCGCTACCGTCGGTTCTTATGAGTACAGGCGAACTAACATGCGACATGAGTACTACATAGGTTTTCTACTTGAAACTTTAAGTCACTTTTTTAGTTTTTCGATTGATTAAAATATCGATTTTTCAGTAGTTTTTTTATAGAAAAAATGTACAATTCGATGGATCTTTATCTGTTATTTTCAACTGTGAAAACCTAAAAGTTTCAATCTTGTTTCTATCCAATAGTCATTCATAAAATATCTACCTTCTTCTTTTCTCTTCGAACTAGGCATTAATGTTATAATCACATATATTATTAAAAAAAAAACAGTTTTATCGATATATTCTTATTATGATCTTAGTTGAAAAATGGTGAAATATACACCATTTGTTTTTACTGCCTGCGTATAAAGAGAGAAAATTTTCTATCGGGTATTAAAGTGCTACCATTCCTACTTTTGAATTGCCATAAGTATATGTATCCTTGCCGTTTTATGTTAGCATCTTATTGAAACAGAAAGCAGTTATTAATAGAATTCAACTATGAAAATATTCTCAATCATTTGCTCGTGATCTCTTATCTCGAATCTATGAACAAAAAGTCTATTTTTCGTAATGTTCACGAATGAAAACAAATTTTATTACAATAATAAAAACTCATTTCTTTTTATTTTTCTTCTTCTGATCAATTCCACTGGTCAAATAAATCTATTTATATAAGATTCTAATCTCATAAAGAATATCTTAAAAAAAAAAAAGAAAGAAAACAAGAACTGATCCTAATTCCATTTAGTCAATCGTGCACTCTATATAATCATCATCACCCGATAATTATCAACGTAGTTGAAGTATATACAGTTCGTTTTAACTATATAAAACACCATCGGATGCCTTAGGTCGTATATGCAGATGTATGCATCCGTTGTGTCGTTTGCTTTGATCTTGTTTATTTTTGCCTATTCTATTCATTGGTATTGTACGTAGATCTATTATAAACAAATGACGAATATATACGTATGTGTATGTGTGTATATTCAACACATCTTTAACCATTTGTCATTTAGCCAACAGTACTAGAATTTATTGTTTATGTGTACATAAAGTTTTTTTTTTCGATTTTCTTTTTTTTTTTTTTTTTGTTTCTTGAATTCGCAGAAATGAAGCAAAACACGCACAAATATAAAGAACTGGAATGTATATAGTTTGTTTTTTTTTTAGTTTTCTAATATCTATGAAGTTTTTGTATTTAAAAGATCATTATCTTTTTTATGATCAGTTGATGATGCTGTTGTTTTGTCAAATGTTTTATTCATTTCTGTTAAATAATTTTGTAATGCTGACATTGCACCGACTATAGCCGGTGTACCAAAACCATGTGTAACTAATGAAAAATGTGTTAAATGTCGTTGCATTGATAGATCAAGTACAGGTGCTAAACGACTATTTGTACCTATTGGTGAACGATCTTGTGAAAGTAAATCAGTAAATTCTTTAACTAATTGTCTGGAGAATAAAAAAAGAAAATTATTTCAAATAAGAAAATAAAATTATTTAGATATTATTTTACTTTGCAGCAAGAATATTTTGTTTTCGTTTTGTAATACCACATGGTTCTTGTAAATGATGTGTTGTATTATATTGACGATTAGTATATTCAGCACATTGACGTGCTGGAAATTCTTGATCACATACATAATGAAAATCACGAGCTAAATGAGCAGATTCACCTAAAACAAAAATAATTTAATCAAAAGAAAAAATAAACTAATTAATTTACCTTCAACAAGTGATGTTAATAATGTAACTGTTGCTGCTTTACGTCTTCCAGCTGGTAGATTAACACCAATTTTTTCAAGTTTTTCACGTAATATTCTTCCACCATTTTTTGATTTTGCTCTAAGATAAACAAAATTCGATTAAATAGAAAAAAAGAATAAAGTTTAACAAAATACCTTCGTAATATTCCTCCAAGTAATGATGCATTAAGACATTCTGGTGGTGAAAGACGTCTTTGAACTTCCGATACACATACTTTATATTTTGAATTTGAACTAAGTAATGATAATCGCCCTGGTACACTACAAAATACATCTGTTGGAGCTAATGGTCCATTACCAGTACCTAAATTTAATTGAATACCCTCTTTTGTATCACTACGACGTGGATCTATATGAAATAAAATGTATTTTCATTTCTTTTTTTTTCTTTTTTCTCGTTTACCTCGTTGAAATGATGTTCTATAATGTTCAGAAAATGCTTGAGGGACATTATCATCAAGACCTGGTACCTAAAATAAATTATTTTTTTTGCTTAATTAAATTCCAAAATAACAAGAAAACAAAAACGATCAGATCTTTAATTTACTCGAAAAGCAGCTGTACCCGTTGAATCAGTACCTAATAAACCACTACGATAAAGTTGTAAAGATTCAGGATCAAGTACCATTGCATGACGTGTATAATATGATGCAGCATATTCAGCATAGGCACCATAAGGATGACTTAATGGTGCTGTTTCATCGATATTTACATTTGATGAACGTACAAGTGAATTATAGGATTGTGATACTTGATTACCGGTATAAGGTGGTGATGATGATGATGTATAATCAAGATTATGTGAATGATTTGATTGTATTTGATCAAATGGATGTTGATGTGATACATTTGGAAATGGTGGTGGAAAATATGGTGGTTGAAAATCAACTGGACCCGAATTTGATGTTATAGGAATTGATGATGATGATGATGGTTGAGTATGTGTTCGATTTGGAATTGATGAAACATTAACATAATTATTTGATCGATCCTATTTATTCAAAATAAAAAAAATATCAAAGATTTACCTTAGAGTATATTAAATAATTATTAAAAATAAGAAAGATTCTATAGAAATCCACACTATTACTTTGAATTTGTATCACTCTTAATATAAAATAATTGAGATTTTAGATAGATTTGAAAATTACTGCCAGCTATAATTTTTATATCCATTTAAAATAGATACATATATAAGATATCTTATTCATATACATATATGTATATAATACATATGACATCTGTGTACAATGAGTAAAAATATTATGTCTCTCTTATATTTTTTTTGTCTATATATGTATGTAGAACACTAGCTGTTTCGATGGCAAGCCAATTTACCTGCCAGGAATTTTCGGCAAGATGATGATGATGAAGGTGATGAAATGACATCAGACGACCGCTGGCGGATGTGTTCGTACAATGTGTAATGCTATGCAAACGCCGCTCGACTCAAATCGTGTACATAGAGCGAGCGAGCAAACGAGAGAGAGAGAGAGAAAAAGAAAATTATGTCGATAGAAAAAGATAGCTAATGGGCGCGCGATGAATGTAGAGATAGGCTTGTATGTTGTGCTGGTTCCGTTGTTTCTATTCGTCGTTATTACTTCTACTGCCTTCAAGTAAAAAAAACGACGACGATTGAGAAAAGAAAAAGAGAGAGAGAGAGAGAGCGCGGAAGAGAGAAAATCGACTTCTTTTCTTTTTTTTTCTTTTGCTGTTATTACAACTAGAATAAATAATAGTCAAGGCAAGATGTTTTTCTTTTTTTAGCTTATACGTGCATTGTTTTATAAGTAACGTCTATCGTTTTTTTTTTTTTGTCATCTATTCGGATTGGTTACTGAGGAAAGAAAAACATACTCGAATGCGGATTGGTTATGTCAATAAATGCATACAAGAAAAAAAAAAAGAAAGGAAGAAGCATATTATACAACAGCAGAAGTTAATGTCGTTAATCTTTTAAAGATTTTATTTTTAACAAAAAAATCTACTTCATAAACGAACAAAATCGTTAAGAAATAAATTTATGATGAAATTCGCTATTTTTTTTTGTTTTGATTATCTATTATGAATAGATCTTGATAAATAATGATTGGCTTCACATGTTGAATATAACACCCAGGGATGTGGCGACCACGGGATGCAGGGGGGTGCGCATCCCCCCACTTTTAGAAAATTATCGCTTTTCCCCAGCAAAAATCTGTGTTTTTACTGAAAAAAAAAGATCATAAGATGGAAAAATAAGGTTCTGCATCCCCCCACTTTTTAAAATTTTGTAAATGCATCCTCTCACGTTCAAAAATTTTCTGAATACACTCTTAACTTTTGAAAAAAATTTTCTTGCACCCCTCCCCACTTTTTTCTCTTCGCCACATCCCTGATAACACCATAGATTAATTTACTTTCTATCGACCAGATAACAAGAAAATTTTTAGTTGTATCATACTATTATCAAATTGATGACTAATCAACAAAGAATTTTTATGTTGTCAAACAGTAATTAATTTAACGGCGCAAAAGTTGTTAAAAATTGTTTATTGAAATTCTTGAATAAAAACGAATTGAAACATTTGAAAAAATAATTTTTTTTTTTAAGATATGACTACTCCTTTCCTTTAAACTTTGTAAAGTTATGGTAATAACCCATGGAGTTTGAGATCTAATACAAATTCTTTCCGGATTTCAAACTACTTTTTAAGAATACGTTTTCGAACACAGTCGAAATTATAATTTATTTTGATTATGTTATTGTAATTTTTTTTCTTCTTAAGGCATAACCAAAGGAGAACGACTAAGTCCGTCTTCTCCCCGTCCTCAACCAAGCAAAGTCACGTCAGCTAAGCTCTGCCTCAAGCTTTTCCATCAGACAAGAACCGGTCATCTCAATCCTTCGAACCAAAGAGCTCAGTCATATTTAGCCCCTCTCCCTTCACTGTCAAAATCCATATGATGCCACTAATTTAACATTCAATACGAATACCCATTACTTATATAAAATAAACAAACAAGATTGAATGATCGATATATTAATCTTTAAACAAAATAGGTTTAGTCTAATTTTTTTTTCGAAATGAAAAACAGACTGATATATAAAAAAAGCTCGAGGTAAAATACAAGTCACAATGAGAAAAATATATCAGCAATAGTTCGTTGATCATATGGCTGATGGCGCTTAAGGGCAATAGCAGATATTGTTGTTATCATCATCATCATCATCATCATCATCAGTCTTCAATACTTAAATGGGTTATATCAACAAAATGCATGAACGGTATACGAACGATTTGAAACACTTGAACTAATAGGATGTTGATTCAAGTGCTTAGCTTACCTGATCCGCCGGCGTTAATGTCGGCAATACCTAACTTCTTTAACGTTACAAATAAATTGAAACGCATTCGTTCATTTTTCTTTTACTCATTTTCCACTTGACTTGTCAATAGAAAGAGAAGAAGAAATGAAAAGACTATACTCAAACATTTAGTGAGTAAGTAAGCGTAAAAAAAAAGAAATGAAACATGTTCTCGCATTTAGACATTTAACATTTTATGTGTATGAGAACGAAATCTAACGGTGTTCTTTTCTTGTCATTAAATAAGGTCAAAACATATTTCTATCTCATGATCATCATTAAAATGACTTCAAGCTATAATTTCATTAACGGAACATGATGTCCGCCTTTTTTTGACTACATATCATAGAAGAATCAAAGGTTTAATGTCAGAAGACAATCTAGCCTGAGGCTTTACAAGAATGCAATAGGCTTCTTCTTCTTCTTCTTTGTATTCATTTGACCGGCTGGAATATTTCACACGGAAGCATATGTATTTATGCAAGTGAAAAGCAAACTGTTCGTTTAATAAATCTAAGTGATATTCTTGTCTTATTGTTGTATGAATTCAAAATAATATGATTAATTGATATTCTATTGTATGATAATCATGTTTGTTATAATATAAGTCATGATATTAAAGTAATTGCTGAAATCTTGATTCATAGTTCTTCACTTAGGAGCATTGCAGAAAATTTATTTTTTTTTCTGATTGAAAGAGAAAACTGTTAGGTTCAAAAAATATAAGGAAGAAAATTTCTATGATTATTAAGTATAAGTGAGAAAAAAATTCAATATCGAACATTATAAAAACAACTCTTGCAACATACTTTTTTCTTGAGTAACCAAATAGATGAGTAAGTAGTCCTTACAGAACCTTTTTTGAAGTTTAGAGGATTTCTTAGCTGTTATTCAGAGTTTAATCTCTTCTCTTGCAAAAAAAGTCAATTTTCGTGATAAAAAATGAAAGTTAAGATAAATTTATGAGAAGATAGCCTGAGGTCTGATCTTTCATAAATGATATAATTTTTTTATTTGGCACCTCGTTTTTTTTCCAAAAATTTCCATCATTTTCTTCTTAAAAAATATGCCTTTTTCAGATAAAGTGGAAGTTCGTTTGATCATGCATCGTAGAATTCTCGAAGTGTCTTTTTTTTTAACTTATCATTGTTACTTTTATACAAACGAATTCTTTTATCAATCAAGCATACTTTTTTTTAGACATCAAACTTTTTTCTCTTTAAAAGTAGGAATTTAAGAAAGTAGCTTTGTCATGTCCCTCCACTACAGTTTCAATATATCTTGACAATTTCATGTGATTTAAATGTGTGTATAAAACATCAATCAGTGTGAAAAGATATCAATAAAATTAAAACAAACTCAAACATTTCTGAGTGAAGAACCATGAGAAGAGATTTCGGTAATTACTTTTGTATTGCAGATTAGTATTCGATTGTTTCTTTAGAGAAAATATCAGTCATGCATTATGTGCGCATTTTTTAAGTGAGATTAGGATAAGAATATTCATTAATCTAGTTAAATTTTTTTTTTCTTAGAAAAAATTCATAGATCATCAAATATTTAACATGACAATTAATGCTTATGTCTCTGGAGAATTTTTGATGATTTTCGTCTTGAAAAAATATCAGTTTTATAGAACGAATAAAAAGCATTTTTTTTGTCTTTCATTTTCTCTGATCACGCGTCGAAGAATTTTCGAAGGAGTTTCATAGTATTTAATACTGCATGGCCCTTTTTTTTGAAGAGTTTTTCGAGGCATTGAACATACCATCCTTTTCTTTGCGTAAAAAAGAAAGAATTCAAAAACGAGAATTTCAAGTTCGCATGATTATCTCCCAGAAATGTTATGGGTTAGAACTGAAAATTGTATCATCTACAACTCTCATGTATTCTGAAAATTTCATGTGATTTGAATATATGTACTCCAAGATCAATTTTTAAGCGAAAAGGGGTAAAAATATTTTTAATATGCTCTAATTGTTGAATTTTTCATAATATTGTTTTTAATAAATGTTACTTTACTTGCAGCACTTGATAGAAAATGAAAAATAAAGCAAGCATCTTTATTAATCAGATTTACATTAGTTGTTAATATTCTTGGGGCATATGTCGAGGAATTTCTT